GGTCTACCGGAAAGTTCTGTCCGATAGTGTCACTTCAAATTTCAATCCATATGCACATGTTGATTTGAGACATGTATGACTATCTCTCTTTATAATTGCATTTACACGTATGTACTCTCCTAAATAAACTGAAACAAAGATGTCTCATGTCATTATTAAGCGAGACGCGATCGCGAAAACATGGCTACCGATGATAATGCCAGACCACATGTTGCTTTGGCGACTCGTCAGAAAATCGCAGAGCTAGGCCGGGAAATTCTGTCGCATCCGCCATACTCCCCAGACCTAGCACCCTCCGATTATCACTTGTTTCTCTCTTTGCAAAACTTTTTACAGGAAAAAGAATTTAAAACTGAAGCCAATGTCAACCGAGCACTAGTTGAGTTCTTCGCCTCTAAAAATAAATCATTTTTAAAAAATGGCATTCACAAGTTGCCATCACGCTGGCAAGAAGACATAAGTAACGATGGAAAGTATATTCTACAATAAATATTATTAAATGTATGAAAATTGTGTTATATTTCAATTCAAAAACGGACAGAACTTTCCGGTAGACCTAATACATCTTACGAAGTTCACATAAATTCAGTCTTGGCATTGTTATGAAACAACATGTTTTAACCGCGTTTAGAGTTCGGCGGTTCCAGCGTTAAAGACTGGAAGAAATTTGGTCCGACCGATTACGGAACGGTGAAAGAGTTCTCCGGACGGGGATTATTATTATGTCCCGTAATTTCTCTCGTCTTTATCTTTGTCTCGGCACGATGTTTCGTATGGAAAGGAAGGAAAAGACTCACCGGTGTCGTAGACGCCGCGTCCGTAGCAGAGCGCCTTGACGTCGTTCATGGGGCTGAGGCCGCCGTTGTGGGGGTGGGTGGTGTGCACCGAGGACGGGGTAACAGGCGTCGCGTATCCGTGATGATGCGGCCCCATCGGGCTCATGCCCATCGGGCTGCACGGGTTCATGCCAACCGGCGACATGCCCATCGTCGACAACGGCGACATCGCCAGGTTCGGGCTGTCCGAATTGATGCTCTGCAACGATTGTATGCTTCCGCCGTTGCTCGTCGTGCTGCCGATCGCGTTGTTCGCGCTGCTCTGACAGTTTAGCGGCAGCATTTCCCTGCGAAGCCGAAAATATTGTTACGGCGACTTGTCCAAATCAAGTCGCTGTAATGTGAAACTGCCCTGTTGTGAACAACTCCTTAACATGTTGACTGCCGCGTCACCCGTATTCGGGTGACAGCAAAAGTTCTCATCAGGCCACGTCACCCGTAATTCGGGTGACACTGATTGGACTACTTGCAAAGGATTTCCGAAAATATTTCGACAAATATTCTACAGGAGGTAATGAAACTATTGAATTCTTATCAAAATGGTTTATTAAAAAAATTATTCGCAGTGTATAACATTCAAACATTCTCTGCAAAGTTGAGGTTGATCAGGACAGCTTGGACAAAAAGTTGTTTGTTTTTTCAGATATGCTCGTGCCTCTGATCGGTCCATTTCGTATCTTTTATTTGAACTGTAGCTTCCTCGGTATCATCAACATTTCTTTCTTCTTCCATGACCAATTCTCTCTCGTAAAATCTCGTCAATAGTATCTTCATAACATTCATTATCGCTAAGATTATATTTATCAGTATCCAAATCAGAATCTGACGATGTAATTTTATTTATGCTTCTCCTTCCGGGCAATCCGATCTCTTTTCATTATTGAAAAAAATAAGGGCAGAGATTTTAAGTTATACCATTCGGTACTCGGCAAAGATTCCAACTGTTCATGCAGGAACAGAAACAGATATGAATTAACAGCGCACGCTTCCTATAGCGGCACAGGTGGCCTGTAGGAGATTTTGTTGTAAATACGCGTGGCAGTCAACGTGTTAAAGAATAATAGAAGATAGGGGTTGCCACGAAAAAAAAGTGTGTTACCAACGGACAATCGAAGAGTCGAGATCGGACCGTCGAGCGATCAACATCCCACTTCTGAAACATCTGAATTGTTATTGTATCGAATTGTGTTATAGTTAATATTCTTTATTGTAAATAAAATGCCGCGACGCGAGAGAAAAATGGTATAATTCGCAACAATATCATTGTCCCGACGACCGACGATAGAGCGAAGAATCGATGAACTTCCGTCGAAATTCTGTCGACGCGAGCATCCGCCCCGCGAGCTCGGTTATGTCAAAGGCTCCCTCGCGAGGACGCGCGAACGATCTAATTCGAGGATGTCGCGTCGCAACGACAGGTGAAGATGCAGGAGAATGGGCAATCCGGCAATCTGAGCGTTGCGTTTCACAGGGCCGACCGTCGAAACTGCGCGAACGACGACTGCCATTCGACGTAACAGGGGGACACGCACACACGCGGTTGCCCGGTACACGGAAATCGGCGTACGATAATTGCAACGAGCGTGTCGCGCGCCCGAGGGTGCAAACGAGCATAACTTTCCGGCGATTCGAGGACCGCGGTTTCGAGAAAAATTGCCCGGGAACCGGTCGTAAATCTTCGTTTCCCTTTGACCTCTTCTGGAAAAGTCGGGGAAACGGTTCCGAGCGAGAAACATGTGCGAGGTTTCACATTGTCTTACCGGCGTTCGAAAAAAAAAAAAAGAAACCTATGACCCTTGGCCTAACGTCGACCGAACAATTATCGGGTCGCGCGTTCGCGCGGCCTCTTTCCGTCTTTCTTCCAGGAATTTTCTTGCCGTCCGACCAACGAAAAAGGTCCCAACGTACGAGGTCTCTCTTTATTCACACATTGTTCCGACCCCGAAGGAAACAAACGTCTCGGTCGTTTGCACGCGCGCCTGTTTCTCTATTCTCTCTCTCTCTCTCTCTGTCTCTCTCTCTCTCTCTCTCTCTCTCTCTCTCTCTCTCTCTCTCTTATTCTCCCTCTTTCGTTTTTTTTTCTGCTCCGAGCCCCCTCGCCACGGCTGTATCTTTACGCACACGCATACGTGCATACATGGTGGCCATGTGCAACCAGCTCCGCCCCTGACCGTGGCTCGTTCACGCTACTTCCACCGAACCTTTTCTCCTTCGACCTTCTTTCGTGAGCATGGGACGCCCGGTTTTATGGTCGCGCCTCAAGGTCTAGATTCCAGCGACGGGGGCAGCGACGGTTCTGTCGCCTCGTCGCGAAATAAATCGCGACCGATCGTCGAGTTCGTACGGCGGCCAACCCTCGATCGCGGGCCGCAACGATCTCAGCAAATTCGATACGATCGAAGCACGGTAAATTCTTTCGAATTGTTCCTCTCAACTTGCGAACAAAAATGGCAAAAGTTGGTACAGCGCCGAGATTCGTTTCTCTGTTTAACCGTTTGATCTCTCGAAGCTATTTCAATTCTAAAATGAAGGCATTTGTTTCGATCTACAATATTTTCGTATGATCGTACGCTCATAATCATCGTTTTAATCGGATGCATGGGAGATCGAACCTGTTGGCTTATGGAAGACTTCTGTTTCTTTTTTTAAATTTCTCGAATACAAACTCGAGTAAGGTGAAAATTCTTTTGAAAAATTGTGTAGCAATTTTTAGCGCCGCCTCAGAGTCTCCGATGGGTTAATAATTTTAATAATTTGCAAGGAATGGGATAATACCTCCCAATTCTTATAATTTATATATATATATATATTATTAATATATTATTAATATATATTATATTATTATAAATTATTTATTATTATATGAATAATAATATAATAATACATAAATACTATTTGACATATCCAAAAATGTTGTACATCACTTTACAAGATACGGGAGCTGCATAGAACTTTCTTTCTTTCGTTAATGATTCTAATAATTAGAAAATAACTCATCGATATTCACAAATCTTTCTAATCTTTTCACTGTTGAAAATTTTACGCAGTAATTTTTGTCATAAATGCATAAAGATCCGTGATCTAGTAACAACAGCCTGGGACTTCCACCTTCGAGGGCGACTGTCGCCGTAACGAAGGCAACGAGCTCGCGCGTCCGGCACCAGAAGAAGAACAAATGATTCGAATCTTATCGTTCGAGGGTCAAGGCGACACCCGTGAATTCGCGAACCGATCGGACAGTGTGCCCGCTGCACACGAAAGGGAGCGCGAGAGAAAAATTACGAAGGTGTAGAACAAAAGAAAACTAGCGAGGAAGAAGAGGGCGGGAGGAGGAGGAGGAGGAGAGAGCACCTCGAGATAAATCGCGAGTACGGCGGAGGGCCGGTCGTGGCCTTTATGTAGTAAACTATTGGTAGTGCGAACAGCTCAATGGTGAAACGGGAGACGTAACCGAAGCTGCGTCATAAAACGGTAATGGGGCGTCGCGTTTCCTTTTCCTAGAGCCTTTGCAAGAGGGTGGACGTTAAGGGCGGGCGGGAGGGGCCAGGGAGAAAGTTAGGATGTAGGTACATACGTTGCGCGTTGGGTTCGTACGCCTCCGAAAAGGAACATTCTCGCAGCCATTCCTTCCAGAAACGAATATCCGAGAAATCTCGAAGCGTTTCCAGGCGATTCTGGAACATTCTCTTGGGGGCCACCCTTCGCCAAAGGTGCTTCGCGATTAGAGAAACGGCAGCGACGCTGTCTTAACCCTTTGGAGTCCGATTTATTTTTCGTTAGTTTGCGTTATATCATATTAACCCCTTAACACGTTCCGTGCCGAGCTTTTTTTACTCGAATCTTCACACTTTGATATTTTACTAAAACTTGATGTATTACGTGCAATTATTAATTCTCGTACACATAACAACGTAACAAAAACTTATCAACGCCCATTCTTGCGATGGAAATTGATTCTTCGGTTCTAAATTTCTTGTAAACAATTTGTTCAGTTCACTAAGTAAACATGCAAGCGTGTACCATCGATGGTACACGTGGCACGGAACGTGTTAACGCACAGTTTTTTTTAAAAAAACCGGCCAAAGAAGTCACTTTTTTTTAAATGTAGAAAAACACAATTTAGAACATTTTCTTAGCAAACAGATTAAAAAAATACAAAAATAAAAGATTTCCATTTGTTACTGCCCCTAATTCAACTTTTCTTTTGGTGGAGAATTTTGATATACTGCGCTTTTTTGTTCCATGGGAAAAGGCTATATTTTATTCTTGAATAAATAAGTGTTATAGCTTACAATCCCATGTAAATGATAAATATCAGTAAAACGATATTTTTTCTTTGCTTCCACATTGTTATTTTCAATTCTCGATTATATTCGAGTGTGGAAAATTACAGCAGCATAAAATACAACGCCGCTCGAATTATCTCGAGTGTGCACAGTTTGGCCTGTTTAGCGTGCTCGAATTAACTCGAGCGTACAAGTTAAGGGGTTAACCCTTAGTGGATGAGAGGCGACTATCGGTCGCCACGGCATTTCGCGCGACAGGACGAATGGCGAGCGAGAGGCGACAGTCGGTGTTTATGTTAAATTTCGTTATCTCGAACATTATCCAACGTACTGTTTTATGAGAAAGTCCCTGAAGCGGTGGCGCAAATTATTTTTCCGGAGACTGGAAATTTGTTTAATCGATTCGTACATTCTCTACGAACATGTAAAAAGACAGAGAAACGAACAGCCAGTTCAAGTTCGACGACCAACTCCGACGAAATTCGTCTAAACGGGAAACCGCATGTAATTGTTACTGGCACAAAGAAAGATTGCAAAGTTTGTTCCAGTCGAAACAAACCAGAGGAAAGACACGAGACGACCTATTTCTGTGATACATGTCCAGATAAATCAAGAATGCATCTTGGTCAATGTTTTATAAACTATCACACCAATAATGCAATAAATTCTATCTTAACACTTAACCAACCGAATGGGGAGATCTCCTCGTTTTAAATTCAGTCGATTGACGACCGAATGGATGATTGATGAAAAATTAAAACTGATTGCTTAATTTTATTAAGATTTGCACGAGGTACGAATGCTGAAGAAGTAATTGATGCCATATAAGTTTGCTTAGCAATTTTTGTTCAATAGAATGAAATATCTTTATTTTATGAAAACTTTTGAGGTCTCTAGCGCGGTCGTGGAAGTGTTAAAATCGAATAGAACACCAAAATTCTCACAAAGATAAGAAAACATTAATTAATTAAACAGAGAGAGAAACAAAAAGGAGAACATTG